CCCGTCATGTTCATAGAAGAAAAGAAGGTAAATTACAGAAATTGGGAGAGTTTAGAATTATAGGCAAAATTCTAGAGCAGACTATTAAACATAGTGTGTGAACAAGGAGGAAGTGGCACTCGGTTGGTGCCAGGAAGACCTCACAATGAGTAAGTCACATAACTTTGTTCCTTTCCTAACCGGGCAATTTCATTGACTTGAATGAATAAATTGTATATATGGCTCAATGTCAAGAAACCTTATATCCAAGGGTAATTTGTAGGCTGTCCAAGATGAGAGTTCTTAACATAGGTCTGGCAGGACAGGGAGCAGTGGGTCCCAGAGTGAAGGGATGGGAGGGTTCCTGCTCAAACACCATTGCTAGCTTATACCTGCCCATCTTGGGGAGACAGGAGGGAAGATTAGCTACATTAAAAGGATTGGGACTTGGAGATGACCAGAAAGAAATCTAACCTCTCTTATAGGGCAGATAATAAAATATAGGGCAGTACTGTCATCAATGGTAGTCATTATCAAAATAGCAGCTAATCATTTCGGGGGAACTTAATATTTTGCTGAAAACAGTTCTAAAAGATTGACATTTTCAAAACTACCCCATTAACTCCTTTTGGCAGATGAGAAAATTAGGTGCAGAGGGGCTGAGTAATTTGTTCAAGGTCATACAACTAAAAGGTAAAAAAGCTGGTATTCAAATTTAGGCTCCAGAGCCTCCTTCTGAGCTACCCATGAGCTCCTGGAGTACTGAGTGATATGTGGATGTGGATCTCAAAGGAAGTCTCGAGAGATATGGCCCCAAATTCTTAATTTAGCCCTGTCCTATTGAACATTTTTAAAAATGATATATGAAGAAACCAGAAGATTGCTTATAAAATGAAGATTGACATGAAATTTGGAGGAATAGCTAAGATTTTTCTGATGACAGAATGAGAATTCAAAAATATCTCAATAGATGAAAATGATGAGCTAACAGTAACATTAAATTTAATGGGTAAATGTGAGATCTTGAATTTGAGGTAAAAAAAAAAAATCCCTACAAATACAGCATAAAAAAAATAAGGCTAATTTCAACTATTTCTTCTTACATCAGTTCCTACCCCCTCCAGCCAAGCAGTGGCCATGTCCCACAAATTTACTTCCTTAATGATTCTTGAACTCTCTGTCCCTACCCGGCCTCTCCTCTGATTCGAGCACTCACTGCCCCTCTTCTACCTCCACACACTTGCTGTCCGATCCATCCGATACAAAGCTCAGGAGGATCTCCCTAAAGCACCTGGTACTCCCCGTTCACTCACCTTCACCAGCTCCCACCTCATTTAGGTCAAGTTCCTGGCACTCAAGATCCTCCACCACTTTGGCTCCGCCTTCCTTTCCAAAGCTCCAAATTCATCATTTGTTCTTCCTGTTTTTACTCTTCCCCACCTCCTTGACATCTCTGGTTCCTTCAGCTCCATAAGCCTAAGTCATGTCTAAACCTTCCGTTTCCTTCACAAGGCCTCCTTCATGTCCTCCCCCCAGCCTTTCTTGTCCTCCTCAGGTAATTTCTTCCCCCTGGAACATCCTATTGTATTTTCTGTTATAAGCTAATGCTGTGGATATACACATGTCCCCTTTCTTTGTCCCCTATTTCCCTTTTTATCCTCTATCAAGAGTGTAAGCTCACTAAAGGTATAATCTGTGACTGATTGAATCTGCTGTCCCCACACACTCACAGGTGTCTTGGGTCTGGTAAATGCTCAATCAATGCAATGACAGGATGTAAGAAGAAGCACTGTGTCCAGCACTGGATCCTGCATAGGGGAGGTGATGGTGCTGCTGAAGTACAAAGAGCACACCTGGATGCTAGGCTCAGTGTGCAGTTCTTTATAAGCCAGGCAAGCCAGGCTAGTGGGCAAGAGAGAAAGAAGACTGAGATGGTTTATGAGAAACCGAGAATGTTCAGTCTGGGGTAGGGGCGGGGGCAAGCAGACAATATGGACCCTGATAGCCAACCTCACACATATAAAGGGTTTTCATGTATACGGATTAAACTAATTTGGAATCACTCCTGGGAAAAAGGTCTATGCACAATGGATAGGGGGACATCATTTCAAAACAAGAAATTGCTCAAAAGGACCAGCTTGCTTTGTGGATGGGGAGAGCTTCCCATCACGTGACATACTGAGAGGCAGGATCATAAATGATGAGGAAAAGATCTACAGCCAGTAAGATGCCAATCTGTATGAAGTTAAAAAAAAAACTTCTTTCTAAATCACAAGAACAGCCCTAGCCGGTTTGGCTCAGTGGATAGAGTGTCAGCTTATGGACTGAAGGGTCCTGGGTTCAATTCCGGTCAAGGGCACATGCCCGGATTGAGGGCTCGATCCCCAGTAGGGAGCGTGCAGGAGGCAACCAATCAATGATTCTCTCTCATCATTGATGTTTCTATCTTTCTCTCCCTCTCCCTTCCTCTCTGAAATCAATAAAAATTTATTTAAAAAAATAATAAAAAAACAAATCACAAGAACAACAATATAAATGGTGATCAACGGTGTTTAGATTCTAGAATCAACTTTACCTTATCTTGGGCAGGTTATGTAACGTCTCCATTATAATTAATATTCATCAGCATTATTATTTGTTAGAATTATTGGTTGGCCATAATGAAATATAAGCAAAAAAAGGATATGATTTGCTTTTGTAAAAAAACCTTAAAATTCAATGGAGGTTAAAGACAAACTTAACAGTAAACTTAAAACAATGTTATTAAAATGCAACCAATTTTTAAAGGTTTTTTTTAAATATTTTGTTTTAACACTTAAAATATGCAATTTGAGTCTCATTTGGTTGATGTGACGTTGGTACAATCACTTTGGAGGTGGGTTTTTGTAAAGCTGAAAATATAACTCTGTGGCCCAGAAATTCCAATCAGAGAGAACTAATGATGAGCAGTGGCTTTTAAAATTTGTATTTGTGTGCCAGTTAAAGGAATTTTGAAAAATGATATTCTCCTCCCCACATTTAAAAATTGATATTTAGTATCTTTCAGTATGAACTTAAATGGTAGCAAAGAATATACTTTGTTTAATATTATAAATAGTGACACTTTAAAAGCACTATTTTAAGTGTACCCAGTGGAATCTCAACACCATAGGGATTTGATATCCACCATTATACATATTAAATATATTCGAATAAGGTCCTCTCTGACAGTTGGTATTGTTCACTTTTCTCTTGGAATTATTATTTCTATTTTAGTTCCTCACTGAATTTCATCCATTAGAAATATATATTTATGCTTGAGAGTATCTTATTGATTACTCTATTGTAGTGTTCTGCCAAAAACTGTTTGTACAAATTAAAATCTAAGATAAATTAAAATTTTCTGTTACCACAAGACTAAATTTTAACATTTTTGTTTGAATTGCCATTATTATTATTTAGTACACAATAATTATTATTTAGTACACAATTGATTATAGCATAATTACTGATTACATGTATATTTTAAAGGCAAATATGTTATAATTTTATGAATCACTTTTAAACAAATAAAGTAAAATATCATTGGAAGCGCATCTCTCAGTGAGGTGGTTGATGTTCTGTGGATAAACAATACTTACTGCTGGAAGGTGGTAAAGTATTAATCTAAGTTGTATACTCTTCGGCCAGATTCATCTTTCTGACCACGGCTTCCCGGCTCACTTATAATGACTCCTTATCGTCTACTATGCAACATCTAAATGTTCAAGTCTTGCCCTGACTGGTTTGGCTCAGTGGATAGAGTGTCGGCCTGCGGACTGAAGGGTCCCAGGTTCGATTCCGGTCAAGGGCATGTACCTTGGTTGTGGGCACATCCCCAATAGGGGGTATGCAGGAGGCAGCTGATCGATGTTTCTCTCTCATCGATGTTTCTAACTCTCTATCCTTCTCCCTTCCTCTCTGTAAAAAATCAATAAAATATAGAAATGTTCAAGTCTTACCTTTTAAGACCCTTTGTTAATTGGTCTTACTTTTCCTATTAAATATTATCTCTCACAACCTTCTACTAGGACATCTGTTCCATCCAAACCTCTTTCCATTCCCCCTCTGAATACCAAGCAACCGCGCTGTGCTTCCTCTCCACCCCTGCAAAGCCCTTACTTACTCTTTGCAACTTCCTACATCGCGTTTGTCTTTCTCAGCCCCAGCACAGAGCTCATCGTCTCTGAAATCTTTCCAGACTCCAATCACCCTTTCTCTCTTTCATCCCCTCTGCTCTTATATTCTCTGCTGCACAAGAAGTACCTGATTATGTACTGTACTTTACCTGCCTAAGCTTAATTATATATCATACAAAATGTAGTATTTTATTATACATTCCTTTCTCCCCTAATTGTGTTAGGTTTTGTCAACCAGATCATAATTTGCTCCTATAATTAGCTTTTCATGAGAAGTGCTATGATCCTTTCCATGAGCTCAAAGAGATTTTTGAACCCAGGGAAAAGAACTTAGAGGGAAAAACTAAAGGTTTTCAAGTTCATAACAATGGTTGCTCATTTCTGCTGATGCTAAAAACAGTGTAAGTGTCTTTTCATGACAGTAGGAAGGCTATAGATCAAACAGTAAGAGGAACACATTTGAAAGAAGTAAAAGGAAATCATATTATAGATTATTAAGAGTGCCTATGAGTTTGAAATTGCTTTACTTTAAAGATCGTTTAGAATCACATGATGGACTAATCAAGTTCTGGAATGTCCTCAAGGAAGATGAATCTTAGGATTCTAAGCTTTCATGGAAATCAAGGCTGACACCTCATCTCAGCCACCGATGGCAGTCCTCAGTGGCTCTGTCCCTCTGCGCCTCTGTCCTTTTCCCTCCCTCTGGGGGATGACATCAGCATCCAGGAGACTCTTTCTGTGGCACATGTTCTCCTCAGGCCCCTTGACCAACTAAAGGTGGGCCTTTCCTTCGAGTGAGGCTCTGAAGGCAGCCTCACCAACCAGACAACAGTCAGGTTGCCAGTGACATAGCTCAGGTCCTACCTGTAGGCCGCCGTGCAGGTGTCCTTATACTCCTGGAGCTTCACGCACACCATGTTGAGGAACTGGTCTGAGTACGCGCTCAAGTCATGCATCAGATTCAGCAGGTCTTGCACTGTCTTCTCCACAATGATTGTGCTCTGCCAAGGACACAGAGAGGACACAGGCTCAGGAGTTGTTGTTTTTTTGTTTGTTTGTTTGTTTTTACTCAAGTAATAGGTAGGACAAGGAAAGATGGCTGAAATAATGCAATCATTTCAAACACTCAAGCTTTCCTGGGAGGGCATTTAAAAGTATTGATTAAAAATGACAACAAAATAAGTATCTTACATACAGCTGGTCTTCCCAAGATCTGAGAAGTGTTTTCTGTCAAAGGACATAGGCTAGGGGTTTTCAAATTGATTTCATGGAATTCTGGGCAGTCACAGCTATCTCTGTGGCTTTTCAGAAAGTGAATACATATTCAGTTGGGCCTGAATTTATCACCTCCAGGTCTGTACTTTGAGATGAGGGACCTATGGCAGGCAGCACAAAGAAAAAGCCTTCCATGACTTATTTTTAAAGTTTCAAAACCATCAATCTATTATGAATAACAACCACCATTTGTATTGTGCTTTACAGCCTCTAGAATGTTCTTACATACATGGCATATGTTATCTCACTGAGACACATAATGATCGTCACGATCATGAACATTTACTGGTTCTTGCAAGTACAAGGTACAGTGCTAGGGTTCTACATGCTTCACCTCACTTAAGCCTCTCAACACGCCCACCTGCTGGGTGAATCCTGTATTCATCCCTGTTTAAAGATGAACAAACAGGCTTAGAAACAGGTAGCACACAAAGCGAAGGCTCCAGGCTTTGCTCTTTTAACTACACCGTTCTGCCTCCCGGCTAGACCTGAGTTCTGCCTGTAGCCCCATCATTTTCTCATGAGATCACAGTACTTGCTACTGTTGTTGCCACTGTAGAAGCAACGTCCAAATAGACTCCGACATAGAGACAGGGAGCACTCTGCAGTAAACCAGTGTTATGTCTAAAAAGAGGCATAATCAGTGATTTTTCACTCTTTAAGAAAAGACTGAGTTATGTAAACCATTAGTTCATCTTTCAAAAGGAGCAGAATTACACTGGGGTAAATATTAATCACATGCTTAGCAGCTTGGAATCCTTTGGTCAATAAATGGTTTGTTGAATACGCATTTAATCAGACAGAATTGCATAGGCTACGGCAGACTTGGCCATAAAGTAAAGATTGGAAAAAACAATTTTTTCCATTCTGACAGTGACCCATGAAAGATCAACGGCATTTTATTATGCTTAAACGCAGACAGTGGGGCACAGGCTTTTGGTTAACTGTCTTTTTCTTCTAAACATAAAAAGAATGGATAAAAGTATGCAGCTTTTTTCTACACAATGGAGGATCCGCTTGTTATGTGTTTACATGTGTATGTTTATTCAAGATTATTTGCTTGTAGGGATTTTTTGTCTTTTTCCCCTCTCCACCCCCACACCCCGCCCCTGTAATTTCCCCCAGAGTAAAATATCCAGAAGGAGAAAGGAAGAACAGTTATATTCGGTAAGGCAAACCAAATTACCATCTCTATAGAATTCCCACAAGTTCAACTTCCTTTTCTGTATTGATTTTAAGATTAAAACACTGCAGATTCCCCTGATCCATAATCCCGTTTCTCTGTATTTGTGTGTGAGTGACAGGAATTGATTCTGCTTAGCTACATGTCCCCACGCTGCTAAGAAGAATCTAAAATCCTCATCCTGCTTCAGAACTCAGTATATCCTACAACATGTGGACAGCAATTAACAAAGGAGAGTCCATTTCAGCCTTCCTGACAAAGCCAGTGTCAAACCCAAAGCTCTGCGGGAAGATGAGCGCGGGCAGGATGAGCGGGGGAGATCGCGCAGATTGTTGAGGGACAGGGCCTGGCTCTCCTTTCAATTATGCCACTGGTAATCAGCCCGGGGCAGGTTTGGGTAACCTCTTCCTTTCTTATGACTCAATTTACTCTTCTAATAACCGAGGATAATGTGATGGCGCCGCTAATCTACTGGCCCTCATCACTCGAGTATTCACTGGGTGCCCCGCGCTTCTGCTGGGAAATAAACACTGTAATTGTTCCAGGCCTCCCAGGTGTGCTGGGGCTGCCTGACCAGATTACCAATTTCTCAAAAGCAAGCCTGGCATTCTCCTTTCATCCAGCTCCCACCCTCCCCGGCTGCTACTTGCTTATAATTTCTCAGGATCTTCAGGACGATACTACTAATAAAAGAAACAGGACTAATAACAGTAAAGCACATCAATAAACCCGGTTGTCGAATGGGAGGGGTGCTAGACACAGCCATCCCTGCATTTGGAAACCTCTCTGAGTGGACCAGTTTGGTCTGTATTTATCCCAGTGCTTCCGGGTGACCAGCACTGTGCTAATGACAGTGGGAGTGGAAGGGAGATGCAGACATAGAGGACCAATCCCTGGAGATAAGGATGTGGGGTAAACAGGACCTACAGGAGAAGTAGTGAGAATGCCATGGTTAATGTGAATGGTTGTGCTCACCAACCATTGTGATGCTGTGATTACAGACAATTTTCCAGCTATTTGCTTGGTTTACCTTGTCATGGCAGCACTCTGGATAGCCAGTCACTACATTCTCCTCAAGGAAAATGACACTCGTTTGCCAAATGATGGGTATTTTTACAAGGGAAAGAAGTTCCTATTTTTCACGAATTTATAATAATTTCCAAATCAGTGGCTCTGACAGATAAATGTTGAAAATATCAGATTCCTAACAAGGTCAGTTCTGTTTTCATTATATGATCTCTTTGGCATCACAAATGATTCATTGATTCATTATTAATTCCGGTATCTGACTATATTAAATGAATTCTAAGTAAAACCCTGATTTTATTCATTGTAATTTCTATTAAATATATCATAAATGATTGATATTTATACAGAAACAACTCAATTTTCATTTCTTGTGACTTATTACCAGGTAATCAAGTCTGGGCATGACATGAAAAATGAGAAAATGAAAAAAAATTCCCAGGATAGCTGATGCTATGAAATAATAACAACCAAAGTTTCTTACGGGGATACAAAGCAATCTAAAACACAGAGAGGGTGTGTGACCAGCTCTTTCAAAAACTGAATGACTAAATAAATGAAGACATGTGGCTCTTTGAGGCCTTGTTCATTTTTTGCTAAAATGGGGCTCTGTAGCATGATACTGACAGTGATATTATAAGAAATTGGCTCTAAGTTCAAATAACTTGACAAATGCCGAGTTAGAGAAACCTGAAGTGGTTTCTTCACTGGAGGACTGGAAACTTAACATGCTGATGCCATGGTGAATCTTAGAGGAGAATGTGGTAGTCAAACTTCCCCTAACGATTTAAGTAAAGAACAATTTTTCATAGCATATCTTTTTGCATCTACCAGGACAATGTTTCCAGAACATGGTTTGGGGACAACTCTCCCAGTTCTCTGGTCACACTGATGAGGACACTAGGCCAGATGACAAGCTTGAGGACGCAGAGTCTAGATGGGAACAGGGGAGAATCCAGGTCTCGTCCTCAGACTACACCCTTTCCTATACCCAGCTTTGTGTTTTTGTTTTTTATAAATTAAATCTTCATTGCTGAAAGTATTACATATGTCCCCTTTTCCCCCATTGACTCCTTTTAGCCTGCCTCCATGCCCTGCCCCAGGCCTTCACCACCCTATTGTCTGTGTCCATGGGTTATACATACATGCATACAAGTTCTTAGTTGATCTCCTGCCTCCCGCTCTAGCCTTCTCTCCAGCTCCCCTGAGCATGCCCACGCTGGGCTCCAACCATCCGTCTGCTAGTCAGGAATGACTGCACCAGGCTACTTCCTGCCTCTGTGCCTTTGAGGTTCCCAATCTCCATGCTGGGTATGCCCTTCCTAGCTCATGCCCTTCATCCTTGACGAGGTGGCTCAAGGGTTACCTGCTCTGATTTAAATGCCCCTCTTCTGTGCTACCAGAGCACCGTGGGTATAATTTTATCTCAAGTCTCAAGTGGGATATGACAACCACTGGGTCACTTACTTGACTATCTCTGCTGCTAGTCTATAAATTCCTTTGATCAGCAACTATACCTTGTATCCTCTACTACCAACTAGCAAGGCTTCTGGCATATTGCCAGTGCTCTATAAATGTTTATTAGATGAAATAATGCAAATGCATAGCCCATTAGGAACAGGGTAAAAACACAGATGTAGAGTAAAATTAGAAGGCCAGGTAGTGGGTTAAAACCCTGACTTGGTCAGGTGGAATTAGAACACAGCTCTTCAGTACACATTATTGGGTCTCAATTTCCAAATGAAGACTGAACACTGATTGTCACTGAAGGTCTTGGATTTTTCTATAAAAACACCTGACTGTATTATTTTCTATAATGTCAACCATATCCTATATAATAAAAGGCTAATAAGCAAATCAACTAAATGACTGGTTGCTATGATGCACACTGACCACCAGGGGGCAGACGCTCAATTCAGGAGCTGCCCCCTGGTGGTCAATGCACCAGAAGCCAGGCTCATGGCTGACAAGCGCAGCGGCAGTGGCAGGAGCCTCTCCCGCCTCTGTGGCAATGCTAAGGATGTCCAACTGCAACCTTAGCCCGCACCCCCGCGGGAAGCGGGCCTAAGCCATCAGTTGGATATCCCCTGAGGGCTCCTGGACTGCAAGAGGGTGCAGGCCAGGCTGAGGGACCTCCCTCCCGCTGAGTGCACGAATTTTGTGCACCGGGCCTCTAGTATATCTATATATATATAACCCTAATATGCAAATAGACTGAATGGCAGAACAACTGAGCAACTGGTTGCTATGACGTGCACTGACCAACAGGGGGAACACGCGGAACATGGTGGCGTTGGCAGTAGGCAGCAGAGTGCAGAATATGGCGGGCATCATCTGCGGCAGGATGGTGGAGCAGGTGAATGGGGGCACCAGACTAAGGCGGGGCACCAGTCGCTGTCATTGGGGCAAGCCTCTGGTGGTTACTGAAAATTCTTTGTTCCCGTGTGCTGCGGTCCCGCCCAGTGCTTGCACCTGCTGCTGCTCACACCTGCTGCCCACACCCGGCGCCACCCTGAT